TCTATTGAAGCTTGAATGCAACGAGAACAACAGGTTGCTTTGGATGACTTTAGGTATTGTGAAATAAAATAAAGTTTACAATTTGGAAAATTTTATAAGATTTGTGGTAGATCTATATGTGAAATTTTATAAATTTGTAAATATAAGTGTGTCAAAAATATGCTATGAATTTGAACATGATCAGATAGTTGAATTGAAGGCTATTGAAGTTTAAGTTGATTAAGTTCTCAAAAATTAGATTTTTAGGTCGAATAAGGTTATCTAAGATTTGTAATAATTTGATAATTAGATTGAGGTGATTTTTATTGGAATTAATAGTTGACTTGATTTCCAACATTTATATAAAATTTGAAAAAAAGTTAATGGTTAAATTAAAAATTATTGCTATTAAAAAATCAAATCAATCTTAAAGTCTTTAGGATTTCTTTAATATATTTTTTTTATTCCTTTAAGGTTTTTTTTGTATTTTTTTAAGATTTCTTTAGAATTTATTTATTATTTTTTTGTAATTCTTTTATAATTTTTAAAAAAATTAATTGGACTTCATCAATATTTGATTAAGTTTTTTAAGCTTTAATTATAATTTATATATAATGCTAGTAGAATTTTTAAGACTAGTTGTTGTAATTTTCTTTTGCCTTTTATGCCAGATGTCTACTGCATTCTCAAGCAAGAGTTCACATAACAAGATATCATTGTCAAAAGGACAAGCCTTCTTGAAAAAATATAAGATCTTTGATTACAAGTAGATTGTAAGAAGCACAATGTTTTCCAAATGAAGTCAAATATATAAAGATAGCCAAAGGCTAAGTACAAAATTTAGACTAATTTCTTTCTTTTGTCAAGATATATCCAACATCTAACTCAAATCTTAAATCCAAATCTCATCTTATTAAAATATCTATAACTTACTTATTACTAATTAAATCTAAGAAAATTTTAGCTTCTTGAGCTTAACTCAAGCTACAAATTTAAATTTTTAAGGTCCATAAATAAAATCTTTAAAAAGTGAGGGCTAAACCAAAGAGGAAAAAAATTGACTGCTTATTGTATTTACTACTTCAAAACCTCTGTCTATAAATTAGCTAAGATCTCCCTTATCACAACTCTTCTTCTTCCATCCTAAGGCTTATTGGAAAGCTAAAAATGAGCTCTATATTCTTCCAAATTCTCAAAATAAAAAGAAAAAAATCCACTAAATAGCATAGAAATTTCCAAACCAAGCTTGAATTTTGCCACCTAAAAATTTTAGCAAAACCTCTTCAATAAATTCATATGAATCTCTCCTGTCACAACTCTTTTTCTTAAGTGAAATAGCTTTTTGGAAATTTAACAATAAGATCTAGTTTCTCTCAAAATTTCAAAACAAAAAGATGAAAATTCAGAAAATGCAATAGGAAACCTCAAACCAGTCTTGAATTTTGTCATCCAAAAAACTCCAACGACTCCTTTTCACAAATTTTCTTGGATTTTCCTCTTCGTATTTCTATTTCTTATGGGCTTTAGATTTTTGAAAAGAAAAAAATAAGATCTAGATTTTCTCAAAATTTTAGAAAAAAAAAAAAAAAAAAAAAAAAAAAAAACCAAGAAATGGCATAGAATTCTCTAATGAGTCTTGAATCTCGCCACCCAAAAACTCCTTGAATCCCCCCCCTTTTCACAAATTCGCATGATTCTCCCTCTTTATAGCTCTATTTCTTGCATGCTATAGCTTATTGGAAAGCTAAAAACATGATCAAACTTTCTTCAAAATTTCAAAACAAAAAAATAAAAATTTTGTAAGAAGCCTTTAAAACCTCAAACCAGGCTTGAATCTCATCCCTTTCCAAAATTTCCAGCAATTCCCCTTTTCCCTCCTTTCAATCCCCCCCCCCCCTCCCTTCCTTCCCCTCAAAAAAATTTCAAATCCTTGATATTCAAAATTCTTATCTCTTACCTTCTTCTAATATCCATCTTGAACTACTATAAAGCTGAATATTTATCTTAAAAGACAATATCCTCAAGCTCAAATAATCCATTTAAGATAACAATTTTATATTCTAAACTCTATTCAAATTTGTAAATTTATTAGTATTACATTCCTCCTCCTTCCTACCCATAAAATTAATTACCCTCTAAATATCTTTGATGTACTTAAATTAAGTGTATCATGACACCGTGAAGAACAATCAAGTCACATAAATTCAATATTAATGGAGATATAATCCTAATATTAAAGATTCAAATAAAATCTTGCGCAATTGATTTCGTGTATCTTTCTATAATTCACCTATTCCATCCTTTTGTTTTAATTATAAAACCTCCAATTTATTTTAAGTGCTTCTTGAAGCTACAACTTCATACTAATTTCCTATCTAGAAGTTCCACATTGTGACAAGTCTACTTCTTTACAACAAGATTTCATATGAAGATCCTTATATTAATAAATCAAGCAGAGAAACTATAAAAAGGCCAATTTTTACAAAGCTCAAGTGATGTATTCTTCATTCATCTTTAAGCCATCAATCAACTGAAGCTATATTTGTTGATTTACAAAAAAGAATAATATATGCAAAGAAGACCAATACCATTGACCACAGAAGCAATAAGGAACTTACAGCACCACCTTGCAGAGAAGAATCTAATCAATCATGAATACTTTGAAGATGAGTACTTACAAATTAAGTTGAAAGTAAGAAAAAAATAAAAACATCATTAAAACCACTGCACCATTATGTTGACTCTTTCAAATCAATTACATTACTAACACAATCCAAGCTAGGTATTTTTTTTTTTTTTTTTTTGAAATAATATAAGTACCAAAAATTAATAAATTCTATGCATAAACTATGCAAGAGCTATAGAAGATCTAAAACCAAATTGTAGCAACAAGATTTTAAAATAGGATAGCACTAGCTATGGGACTAAAATCGCATCAAGAGGCACCTTTTGGACTATGCAACAATAACTCACAATTTTACTTTCCATTCATTGCAACAAACACGAAAATTCTACTTATGCTGCACTTTCTTGCAGTTGAATTTCTAGAAGAAAGTATATATATAGAATAATAGATAGAAATCCCTATGCTTATAATATCAAGAATAAAAAAATAAAAATAAAATAAAATAAAACTTGGAGCTTCTCCAATTACTTATTGAACAAAGAAAAAAAATTACATAAATGTGGAGCTTTACAATAATATAAGCAAAAGAGAGAGGAGAGATTGATTATTGCAGTACTACTCTATTGCAAGAGGAGGAATTTGTAGCCTCTATCACAACCATAAAAAATACAAAAAAAAAAAAAAAAAAAAAAAAAACCAAAACCAAAACCAAAATGCTTAGAACCGAGATGCTTCAAAAAGAAAGATCAAAAATTGAATGTAGAGAGGAGGTCTAATACAACCAAGATTCTTATTTGCAAAGAGGCTACAAAAGATTAGTAGCAACCTCTTGTCCATGTGATCATCTTTCTTTTTTTTTCTTTTATTCATTTCTTTTCTTTTCTTTTCTTTTTCTTTTTTTTTTAAATTTTCTTCTTCTCCTTTTTTTTCTTCTTCTATTGCTTTTTTTATTTTCTTTTAATTCTTTTTGAATTGATTAAATTAATTTTATATTTAGTTCTTAATTTAATTAACTTTTAATAGAAAAAAATATTATAAAAACATCATGAATCTATATTAGCTAAATTAAAGAATAATTATTTATTTTTAAAAAATATTCAAAATAATCCTACAAGAAATCCCTTCTTACATTGACATCCTATTTTTTGCTATTTGTCTCTAAATTTCTTACATTAACTCCCTAGACTAGTGAGTTTAAGCACAAGTACATTTTTTGTACTAAAACTCACCAGTGAATCAATTCTATGACTCACAACAAGATTCACCTAATTTAATAATCCCCTAATGCTTTGATACTATGTTGCAAATATATACAACAAATTGCCATTTTTATTAGGTGACAAGGACCATATATACAATCAGAGTTACTAACTGCAATAACAAGGTAATATGAAGTTATCCAAACCTAAACTTGATTAGAAGCTGAAGACTTACAAAAAAGGGGGGCGCAAGTTGGGTAGCACCAACATCATGCAGATTCTATCAAGAGTCTTTTCCTTAACTTATTATGAAACCCTTAGCTATGCATAATTTTCCATTTCATTTATATGCATAGTGCAAGAAAAATGATGGATTCTTTATTCACATTCTCCATTTTGATTTTGTAGCAAGGCTACTCCATAATGGCAATTTGGTTGATTTCCTGGTAAATACCTAGGAGAACTGAGTCTTACACCGTGTAGATGTCACCGGCCACAACCACTCATTGTAATTCTCTGGGGAAAAGGGTGTCATGAACAGTTTCATTATTTCCCACTCCGCTAGCGAAAAATTTATCTCGTAAAACAAGTACATGATACTAGGAGGGATTTCTTTTGTACTGGACCTAGTACAAATTGTGTCAGTGTGGTAGTCCGCTCCACTTTAAGAGCCGCCGAAGATTCATTTTGATCGACTCCAATCGTTCATGACTAACGTGGGTCAATCATGTCTTCAGAACAATATATTAGTATCAGTGTTCGGATCAATAGAATGCGATTGCACCATGATGTGGCGCTCGATCATGGGATGTGACAACACCCACATGCGTAGGTTAGGTTTAGCAAGAGAAATCGAAGCTTCGACTGTGTTTCAGTTAGATAATCTTTCATTCAAGGATCAGAAAAAACAACAAGAAAGAAGCTTTTCTATGTACTACGATTGTAGCATGAAGTGTATACGCTTTTGTGGGAGTAACAACGTCGCTTCATTCCTCTTTTGCACGCGTGTTACCAGTGTGAATGGCCGATAAGCAGAGGTGTGTGACTCGCTGAACTCGTGGAACTTTTACGATGCTTCGCCGCAGCTTTCAGTCAGATTTTTGACGTGCTGTACAGATGAAATTGGTGTCAATGCACTCAGCGTGTCGGCAAGGAAACGGTGCACCTCAAAATGAGACAACACAAGGAGAAAAGAATAGAAAAAGGTTAAAAAAGGATTACTATATTCAAGAATTGTGTGTTAGATGTTCTACTTATTTTACAAGGCATGACAGGCTGACACCGTCGATACCCATCTGGGCCATGGACGCTTCGCAAGGCACGAACAGCTTTAATCTTCACACAATATTTAAGCGCTTAGCACTTAACTCTGTTGTCTCTTCTAGGCTAATACTCAGTTGTTGAAAATGACTGCAGCCTACCATTGTGGAAGCCTATCTGTCTTTCTCAAAATCACCAGAATGATGAATAGCGATACCGTCCGATGAGCCAAGTGAATTCGAGTATTGTTGCAACAAAAGGTTTTGATCAATTCTCGCACCATCCATAATATTCGTCTTGCTGGCCTGTCTTGTCTCGCCAGTCCTCGGTTGCATGAACGCCTTGACTTGCAGGACGAGATTGATTTTGTTGGCAGCAGAATTGAGTTGATTAGACGGCTGTTGAAGCAATTCGCTTGACATCATGGTTGGGATGTTGCCGGACACTAGCTGTTGCGAGTGATCTACTTCCTGATCTATGCTGGGGTAAAACATGGTTGGACACCGGGGACCAAATCCGGGGCGTTGGTGATCTGGTGTGACGATATGAAAAAAATTCAGTGGCAACACAGGTTCGACTTCAGCGGCATGTTTTTGATGCATTATGTGCTGGAAAATCGCGACTATCCCTGCTGCAATCAGCGGGCCGAAGATGAAGATGTAGAGGGGTCCCCATAACTTGTTGTGATGAAGAATCGCAGGGCCGAAGCATCTAGCGGGGTTCATTGCCGTCGTGTATCCCACACCCTGGGAAATGAATATCAAAATGCCGAAAATCCCACCGATAATGAAAGGAGAGCTAATCAGGAAAGTGACCACCACGTTTCTTGAGTCGAATCCGATTCCGTATACGACGAAGAGCATGATGATGGTGAATACTGTTTCGGCCACCAGTCCCTGCTTGTTGCTCAATGTACTTAATCCTAAGTCGGTACCCTCTACTGGCAACTTCTGTAACAGACATCCCCCTAGTGAGTATTCTCTACGCATCTCATGGGTAGTCAAGGCCCACATTCCTAGAGCTCCAAGGATGCCCCCAAGTAGTTGCGCCACGACGTAGAGGATGGTTCGCACAAGCGTGGCTTGGCCGGTAAGGAAGGTAGTGAAGGTGATGGAGGGGTTGAGATGGGCGCCGGAGATAGGCGTCGCGGCGAGGATAACCAAGGAGTAGATGAGAGCTTGTATGAAGACGTGGGCTGCCACGGAGATGCTCTTGCCTTGCTGATATGCTCCGATGCTGAGGAATGTGAGGCCTGCAGTGGCCACAAACTCCACGGCTGCTGCTCTCCATACCTGACAAGCCCACAACCTTCAAGTCAGCGCAAACCCGTATTAACGTGCACCTAGTACATCATATTCTCGTTTTGCGAATTGTTGGTTACAAATCACTGAAGAGACACGTACATCGGCTTTTCGGGAATCGTGCAATCCAATCCAAACTTTCACTTTTCTCGTCAGTGGTACATTGACAACACTGCCATCGTAGTGTCCCTTCACCGAATCGTTTCTAACAACTCGGGATGGTTGGATCTGCGGGAAGTTCTCCCAGTCGGATTGAATTCCACTCTCTATTGTTCGCAAATGCTCCACAGGAACAGCTGTGCTTCTGATCCCACCAAGTCCACAGAAAACCGATAATGAGAACGAACACAAAATCTGAGTTATGCGTAAGACACAACATTGATTTGTCATCTCTGAAACTTTACAACCTCCTAAAGTTTCTCACAGCCCTGAAATGAAAACTGCTAGAAAATCAGGAACGCATCAATCTGGAAGCGGTGCTTTGAATTGGCAAGAACGTGTACCGTGTGCTGGAGCCGGTGCGATGATAGGAGACTCTGCCACTGCACGCATCAGCAGAAACCCCACCCAATGAGGAAGCCATATTCGTCACGCACGATCAAAGCTTTATCTGTCGGAGACACCCATTACCCGCAGATCTCGGATTTCAAGTCGAGGATACTGTCGCCAATTTACAGTGTACTTTCGATCATTAGAGTCTGACTGAATTCATAATTGTGCTCAAGGTCACAATACCCGGTTGCAGGACTGAAGTACAATCTCTGGCTTGAAGACTAAATTCACTACCTCAAGAACCTCTACCGAAACGATCCTGGACAGTTCAACGTTAAACCAAACCACAACTAGGAGTTCTACTCGTTCAGATGCACTGGCAAACTCATCGGTTACACCAATCAAGTCATGGAAAGCACGCTTGAAACATGGAGCTCCGATGATGGGAGCAAGGTTCACAGGACGGTTTGGCGAGTCAAGGCCTCCGCTAGATTATCGTCATCAGAAATGTTTCACTCCTGCCTCACAAAGCACGAGAGGCAACAATTAAGCACTGTCGGGTGTGAAAGAGCTGGAAGTAGGTTGGCACCAGAAGAGCATTGTCTGCGAGTCAGTACATTGTTGAAGTACCCAACCTCAAGTCAAAATGTCTTGCGGTAGTACAACGGAAGTGCAACTCACGCGGAGGGTCGTATGTGGGCAAATTCAAAATAACATCATGGCCCATAGGAGGAAAAGTTTACCTAGTGAAGACCCAATTCCCCAGTACGCCTTTGGTTGAATTTTCTGATGGCTCTCTTAACGAGTGCATATGCCCTCTTAATGAGTCGGCACGTAAAGAGTGCAGTAGGGTTCAAACCTCACACATCGCTGAGGGCTGCGACGATCACCTCTGTGTCTGTAAATACTCTTCAGATTTTAAATTATATTTATTGTTTGGTGTGAAATGTACTGAAAGGAACCCATTTTGTAGGTTTTAATCACCAGCCTCGTTGGGCTCAATAGTGGCAAACTAGGATTCTGGAGGTCCGACTCTGATTTGCAAGTCAATGAAACGACTGACCAGGAATCAAGTCAGAAGATTCGACCTTCTGGCTTCAGAATTTTGACCACGGTATCAGAAATTTACTGGCGCCTTCTAAACCGCATCGTGGAGGATGGGAGCCATCTCGGAAAATGTTTCCAAAAGAGAAAGTGAAGCCGGGTAATTTTCCTGGAGATTCATCGTTATTGCAAACAGACCTTGGAACCTGATCATGGCCTGGCTCCTCGAGTCGTCAGTTTGGGCGTTAGTCGGGGCGTCTGAAGTCTTCGGCAGCCTATTTGAGATATGTAACGACTTACAGGTCCCATCAGTTGATGAGGGGGCTTGAATAGAAATGAAGTACGGCCAATGAATCAACAACTTCCACATCAGAGACAATTCGAAGCTTCTCTAGTACTCAAGCACGAAGAATTGCGAAGCATTTCTATTCGACGATATTCCTCAGGTGCGATCACTTTCTGTCGCCAGTATGGTATATAATGATCAACGACTCGAAATGGGAGAAGATCTCATACCTCAATTTCTTGCGAGCTAAGAAAATGTTCGTGGATAAGAAATCTGCAAATCAGATCCAATAAAACGATTGCATTTCTTAAATTCAATTTATATAACAAGTTGCAGATGGAATTATGCCAGATTTAAATGCGCCGTGGCGGTGACAAGGCTAGACATCTCAGGGTGACAATGGTCGCATGGGATTCACCGACTGCACAGCCTGCTGTGAGAGTTTTATGAACAGAGCTGTAAAGCAACTATTTACGTGGAATAGTGACCCACTTCGATCAACATTAGTTTTACAGAATAAGTCTGCATGATAAATAGCATATGTATGCACGCTTGTTTGCGTTTTGTGTTTCCTTTCTGAAATTATTACTTCGGGATTGGGATATTGCAAATGGTGTGCCTAAAACTAGAACTCATTTGTGGCTTGGTTTGGTCAATTTTACCAATGACATGAAAAGTAAAAGCAACAAACTTCAGCCGATGACCAATACTCATGGCATGCATCACTGCGATAAACCATTCAATTTATTAAACAGATACGATCCATGTGGAGTCAAGAGCCAAACACAAGGATCCAGAAAGAACGTCTGCCTTACAGAGATTCTGTGGAAAACACCACCCGACTGGTTCTGAAATCTGAAGGTAGGGTGCAGCTTTTCCCATTATGGAGGCACCACAACAGGGACTCCATGTAGTAGTTAGGGTTCCAAATCAGGGCTACGTGACCTTGAAGGACACTGAGAGTACAAATGTAGGGTTAGGAAAACGAGCCGGTGGTGCAACTCGCCGGCGTGGATGAGAGATCCTTCTACTGTGCCGAGGGACAGCTGCGTCCTACAACTTGCTCGAAGCAGGGTTGATGCAAATCTCATTCGGCGTTAAAGCTTGACGAAAGTCACACTTTTGACACTAGCCAGTATTACTTTTGGAAACTAAGCAACAAAAGAGGAGTTGACAGATGAGGAGACGTTGACTCGCAGAGCCAAATGGGACTTCCCAGCCTCTGCCTTTGCTCATATTCGCGGCTCATTCCCTGCACGTTTCAGCGACTCTTTCAACGACTCCAACAACACTTTCGAGGGTTTCATCGCGAAGCTCGACGATCACGAGTGGGCACGCACGGAAGAAGGATCCCACGGCAGAGAAAAATTGGGGTTGGCGCAGCATTCACATTAATACACAAGAGTGAAAACGAATAGTGCGACGGATTCCTTTCTTACTGTGTTTGGACTCGTGGTCATCGGTGCCGTCAGATTCCTGCGGAGACAGGGCATAGCCCTCCTCCGCACAGGGTTCCGGATGTTCATCCATCTGAGGCCTCCTTCTCCGAAGAAGCAGGTCCACTGCCCGGCCAAACGGGCAGCGGCAAGTTGGGCAGACGTTTCAGGTCCAGGAAGAGTGGCCAGCTCTTCCCTACCTAGCTGACCAGCTATCCCTTGCCATCCATTCCCAGCCCATAAAACTGTGTATTATAAAATACATAGCATATATATACATACACACACTATTTCGTGATGTAGAAAAAAATATACATATGTTAAAATAACCAAAATCTAAAATACTGGCATTTTAGTTTTTAACTAATTACTCTAATATATATAATATACATATTTTTGCTATAAAATATATATTATTTCAAAAATCATTGATATTTACTAATGTAAGCAAGGTACAAAAGGTTATTTGTTTTGATAGAAGAATTTTTAGAAATATAAAAAAATTATTTATATTTTAAAGTCATTATTTATTTCTAGAATTAAAATGCCAAAAATAAATGATACTTTAACCATGATATTATTATTTTGATAAGATCAGATAAATGAAAACATAAAAAATCTATAGAATCTATAAAATCTATATAATTGTAAATACTTGATTTCTTATTTTGATATGGTAGACATTCTAAACAAAAGGAAGAAATTTAAACATATAAACTTCTTAAATATTTTTAAAATGTATATTATCACTAAAGATCTAAACTAATTTGATTATTTTTTTAATCGATTAATTTTATTTATTTCCCATTATAAATTCAAAGCATAATTATAGTTCTATTTGTTTTTGAAGAAAAGCAAACAACCTTTTTTCTAGTAGAATCTTTTTCAACCATTTTTTTAATTTCTATTTTATTGAATAATGTTTTATTGGCCTCAATATAGAATAATCTATTTTAAATTTTTAAGAAAAATAAAGATATTTTTAAAAACCATAATTATAAATATCTTATAAATTTTTAATTTAAATTAAATTTTTATTTATAGATATATAGTTATATATATATATATATATATATATATATATATATATATATATAGAGAGAGAGAGAGAGAGAGAGAGATTTTGTAGCTTTATGATATTTAAAAAAAAGTTGTATGCATTATATATCTAGTTATAGAATTATTTATTTTATGTATTTAATATATCTATATATAAGCATTAAATAGAAAATAATACAAAAAAATGATAGTTTAATTTTAAATCCCTATTTTAGGAATTATATTAATAGATGTATAGATATATATTAAATTAATATTATATCTTTATATGTCAAAAAAATTATAGTGTTTTTTAGAAATAAATTAAAATTTATAAAATTAGATTATATAATTTTATTATAGAGTAAAAAGACGATTCTTTTTTATAAAAGTATTACATTTTTAATTAAATTTATTAATCTTTATTATATAATATATTACAATTGGTCTTAATTTATTCTCAATTATTTTCAATAATTTACATATACATATATACACACATATATACACACATATATAATATGGTATTCTCTCTCACACACATACATACATATGATCTAATATTTTTCTCTTTTATATATATTTATATAGTTATCTATTTTTCTTTGCTATTTTGGTTTAATTATATTTATTTCAATAGCATTAAAGATACAATCAACCAATATGGAAAAACATCTACTTTAATAGGATTTTATCAACAAATTTCATTCATTTATTGTACAAGTCTAAATTTTGCCTATTTTAATGCTTGTCCATTGCTCCAAGGCAGCTAGAGTGTAGTGCAAAATCTAGATGAATATAAAAAGTGCAAGATTGGCCATAGTAGCTCATCCAAAAAAATAAGAGTTCTTTGAAATCCATGAATGGATGAAAATAAAAATTACTAAGATACTAATTTGAAAAATGATCAACTATCAATATTGTTTTTGAAATATCAATTTTTAAGAAAATATAATGTTTTTTGCTAAGAACAACAACAGCCTTTGTAAACTTTAATTAATATCTTGCTTTTAAATACCTTCTACTTCAAACATATTTCTTGCAAATTTTATATGAATTCTGATATTGTGTTTTAATTTTTAAATATTTATTGTAAACTTAATATAGTATTTTAATCAATAGAATTATATTTAAAAATATAACTTTAGAAAAATAATGTTTGAATGTTTTACTTTTATGGTTACTTTTTGAGTAAATAATAAAAGAAAAAATAGTATTAGCAAAGTATTATTCTTTAAAAAAATAATTTTAAATATGCATAAGAAAATATGATTTGGATTTGACTTATGCAGAAAAATGACTTTGTAAAAATATGTATATATATATATGTATATATGTATAATATTAAAATTTTAAATTCAAGGCAATACTCACATGACATTTAAACACCACATAAATATAAAAATTAAATTGTAAAACTTTCAGAACTTTTGTAGAACATTTATGTATTCTTACAACCTTTTAAAACAGAGACATTATTTTTCAGAATTGAGTCTATATTCAATGTCAATCAGTTACATTGACTTGAAGGGCATGATCATATTTTTCTCGAACTCTCATCAAAGTTTATAATCACAAGATATTTATACCATAATGTGTTGTTCATTGAAAATTGAATTCTAGTTATAACTTGAAAAATGCAACCTCGATGGTTATATTCTCGTAGACAAATCATACTGAATAATAGTGATAACACATCAATATTAAAGAAAATTTTAATTGAAGAAAAATTCAATTAAACTGATTCACATTTGATTTTTTAAAAATTAACTTAGAAGGAAATCTATTAAAATACGTAAATAAATAAAAACTAAATCTAATCTAAGATGGAGAAATATCAAAAAAAAAATTCTGTAATAATAAAATTGAATGAGAAGACTCATGAAAAGTTTGTCCAAATTCATAATGTTGAAAGATCTGGCTATCAATACTTAACTTGAAGCATAGTCAGCATGCGTGTCTGCCACGAAATCTTCTAATCAACCCTGTTCTGGGCTTCAAGCAGATTGTGGGAGTTGATTTCATGTCATCAAAGGCCAATCCAAATTGTGATTTCGTTACACAGTGCAAAAATGATCCAGTAAAATTGAACATTGCCAAAATGTGCAGAGAAGAATCAAGTAATTAGAGTGTCGCAATATGTGCGATTGTCCATGAAACCCCAACCAGGTGTAGATCATATCGCAATAATAAGGACAACAAGAACGCGAGCCTCTTCGAGAGGTAACCAGTCGTCGAGTCTAGCGTAAGATGCTATCAGATGACACACGTCCTATCTGCCTATATTACAAAAAAACAGGGAAATTGAAGACGTAAGAAAACCATAGCAATGCATTCGCAGATCATCGCCAAGTTTCCAAACGGTAAAACATTTATCTTTCACGGAAGTAGTTCAGATGTTGGAACCGCAGAGGTTCATTACCCCATGATGTCCAACCAGCAGATAACTCCCTTGCAAATAACTCCAAGCCTCTCTCAGCATGCCTCTGTCCCGGTATGTGCTTCGATAGAAGTGCTGTGGCATTTGTTCAGATCAATAATGTTTCAGCAACCAGAAATAATCACATACTTGCGAGGTTCACAATCCACGGATTAAGTACCACGCTCTGTACACAAAAAGCCTAGATACATAGTGAAAAACCTAAGCATTTTACTAGCACCTTCTCAAGGGAGCAAAGTATCTGAAGAAGGACGCCTGGGGGTGTGCGCGGTAAATAATAAGGCTCTCAAATAATCATAATTATTCAGCAATGTCAATCTTAATTGAATAGATTACTTGCCGCAAGTGAAAAATGAATGGAAGACATGAAGAGCAAACATATTTAGAGATAGAGTACATTTCAATGGCGGCTTCCTGGAATGGTCCCCAGGTATACTTATGAGAACGAATTTATCGGGCAGATCTGCGTGCTCTCTTGAACCTGTGAATTGCACGCTCTGCAGAACCACAATTGTGACAACTAAAAATATCAATCAAGGCAGTCTTAGTCGTAGCACGTAGCATATGATTCGGTGTATCATTGAAAGTGGGGAAAATGGTATAGAATTATTAGGATTGAGCATTAAGGCAGCGAAAAAGAACTCCATACCTCCTCTGATGTTGAGCCTATTTTGCTGGGTAAATACCCAAGAAGCAAGCATTCATATGGCTTGTGATGAGCCAAATCCAGTGGACTCACCATTGTACCCTCTACTGTCACCTTCAAAGTACAACTATGAGAATGCGGAAATGCGAACATAGCAATTGCAGACTTCGATTACCGCACTAAGGCAATACAAGTCAGATCTAAATGATCCAGGCAACGTAACTTCTGGCATCATCCACAAAAACGGAATTGGCACTCCAGCAACGTGACAATGAAAATTTTCGACCTAAAAACATCTTCATAGATTTCGAGGAACACGAGGCTCTACAAACCGTGGATAGTCCATATCAATATACATGCAGAACAAAATAAATCAATCACAAGGATTTGGTACACTCACCTTGAGCCAGTACCAAACAGCAGCCATTTTTACTCCCCAAGCTGGAAAAAGTTCCGTTTCTGCGAAGTGACGCAGCTTCTCACGATTGGTAATCCACAATGCCACAAGCGCCCCATCTGCATGAGCAAGTTGCTTGACTGGCAGGGATAACAAATATTTATTTGGTAGAGTAGGGTATCTGCATAAAAAGTTGCACAATTCAACGCATTGCGATTCATAGTTTCAGTGTGCAGTTCCCGCAGTTTGTCAGATCAATAATAATAAAGCAAGACAATCTAAGCAAGAATCCAAATATTTTCAGACGTTGACTTACAGAGATTTCCGATGGACGCTCTTATTTTCCCAGGGAGGATCAATAACCATAAGATTGAATCCGTCTTTCGAGTCACCTACTATCATTTATAAATTCTTAGAGCCCTTTCCATTATAGTAAAAGCAAGATTAATAATATGAGTCGCAGAAGTCATTTTCTGTACGGCTTTTGTGTCTGAATATAAAAGAGACGCATTACGCCCATGATCATGAGTGTGATAAACAGAGGTAATTCAGGGAACGAAAGAAATAAGAATTCATGTGATGGAGAAGAAAAGACTCATGGACAAAAGCCACAAATTACAAAAAAACACATGACGAACAGGACAGAAATCAGCAGAGAGGCTTTTCACCTGGAATGAGCCGATGCACCTCAGATATGTCCGACTGTCATGAGAGACGATATATTAAAAAATAATAATAACAGTCACCGATATATCAATAACTTGATGTACACAACTGTGCAGCGAGTTTGTCAAATTGAGGATAATAGCAGCGACGACAATAATCTAAAAAAATAAAGGAAAAGTTAATGAGGAAACCAATGTTAAAATAGAAATCGGTTACTTACAATAAGAAACGTGCACGATTTAGGTAGTAGATACTTGCACGCCCCACATTCAGCTACTTCAGATGTTCTGCTTGAACTTTTGATAATTGTGTTGAACATTGGAGTTGTGCGTGACTCCTCTTCCTCGCAATCAACCTGCCCTGGACAACACTACCACTAAACATCAGTGACTCTTAATCGTGCCATAGTTCTTAGTCGAGAACTACGAAAATTAGCTTCTGCGTAATGATTAGTAGCTAAAGAGGAACATGCAAGTAAATCTTTAGGTAATCAGTGCTGGTCGATAATTACATATAATGAACCTGCTGAACTGCGCGCCAAGAGCAAGGCAAGATGTGTTTTACAACCCCATTACGACTTTCATGTAAAATCTATATTTGCGAGGGACATCAAATGCCCTTCTAAATATTTTCTAACACAAACCAACTCAACACATTCTCACACACTTCAAAGCTTCATATGCAGCAAAGATCCTCGACTGACCATCAATACCTTTTGAAAAAGAGAATTCGTACAACGGGGCCTGCCACAAGGCCGCCAGCTCCACAAAATTCACTTCACCTTCTTCTATTCCTAGATTCTGCATACTTGAACAACTTTTACTAGGAGAAGGGACACAGTCGTCGCGGCCATCAAAGGTGATATAATTTCGAAGGGAGGGTGCAACAGTTGCCTGAAACGCTTCATGTGCCTTCAGTATGACCGATCTCACTTCCTGCAACTCCAAACCATACATCTTTTACTACGACCATGAATGTATGTCATCACCATATGTATCTTCATACAGCTGTAATAAATAATAAGAAATATCATACAGAGACGTTTATTGAAAGTCTTTCCCTCCAGCCTGACTAATTGAAACATACCTCCACCTGCTTTGATAAAAGGTAGACATTTTCATGCAGTATGTTTCAAACCTACATTAATAGCATATATTAGTTTGTGGAACCTCGCTACCGCTTAGGCTAGTTACACAATATAATTCAACACTCCGTACAAAAAAGGAAGCACGTACAGGAAACACAGTGGCTATCAATACAAAAGGTAGCACGATGGAATCCATCTACTAAATCAACGATGGCGGAAATATCACAGAGAAAATAACACGGCAAACCGTAACAAGTATGTTAGACTGGGACTTGCTAGCCAGATTAATACTTGTGAACATTCTGAAAGAAACGGAAAGACTCACTTGGTGACGATTTTCAGCAAGGACTTCTTTCTCATTCAGATTGTACACTCTTTTTCTTTTCCTCTTCCTGGTGTCACTGCCCTCATTCGTAACTCCAGAAGATGGCATAGAGACAGAAGTAAAGAAAGCACGGGAATAGTAGCGCTCGAACTTCACATCGTGCATATCGTAACCAGAGTTGAGTACACGCACAGGCTCCATGAACACGCCATTGTTCCCTTCTATGATAACAACGCCATTCTGGAGCTCAACCTCTATCACTTCACCACTTGCTGCATCCATTTCACTCCGTCTTTGCAACGATGAGGTGAAATCAAATGCAATGCTGAAAACCAACTTACACTGTCAAAAAAATTCCAGCCATCCGTACTCCTCCCACAATCTTCCGTAATTACGTGAAAGGAAATATGTCCCCAATGTCAGCAACCTATCCTCTCCCCGCCACCTCCATTTCATGCAAAATTCATTGCCCTAAATGTACATTGCGCCGCAGCAAATGAGTTATCGCCCAAATTGCCCGACAAAAACTACAATCTACAATTGAAATTGCTCTGTGGCAATCGGAAATATTTCCTGAACAAAAAAATTCTGAGCCCGGCCATTTCATATATTGCTGGTGTGCTCAGAAGTGTCCGATTAGACGACCTGAGCAGTCATGTTCATGGTTTCGAGGTGCGATTGCAACCAAATGCGTCGACGGAAACCGAACGAGATCCACCATCGTTTGAAATACCAACGATGTACGACAAAAGTTTAACCAGGAAGCTCCGACGAGGTGTTCTTTAGTGAACCAAAGTTCGAGTGACTGAAAGTATTTCACAAAATGCAAGACTACATACAAACTGATTGTCAATCTAGTATTTCTTTTTTTTGATATTTCAAAAGAATCATACATATATATATATATATTGTATATGTGTATATATATATATATATATATATATATATATTGTATATGTGTATATATATATATATATATATATATATTGTATATGTGTATATATATATATATATATATTGTATATGTGTATATATATATATATATATATATATATTGTATATGTGTATATATATATATATTGTATATGTGTGTGTGTGTATATATAAATATATATATATATATATATTGGTATATGTGTGTGTGTGTGTGTATATATATATATATATATCAAAATCTTTGCAAGAAACCATCTCACAACGAAAATTTTGATAAACATCAGACGATTGTGAGCACTTTCAAATATCTCATTTTGTTGCTCAGGATTTAGCAATAAAATATTTTAAAAATAGTATATCGATTTTTTAATTATGTTTTATTTTACTAATCATATGATATATTTTCTTTGAAAATATTAAACATGTGTATGTTTATATTTATATTAATAAGTTTTTTTTCTTTATGAAAATTTTAAATTTTTATTTTTGCGAATTAAAACTTATGATTTTATTCAAGACAATAATTATGGATATATATATATATATATATATATATCCATAATTCAAATATTTATTGTCTTTTTTAAACATAAATATTACTTTTAATAGTCTTAGCACTCTGCTACATACTCCATACAATCTTATGAGTCTCTTTTGTAATTCTATGGTTGTTTCTTTTTCTTCTTCATTTTATTTATTTATTTATTTATTTTTTGGATAATGGTGCCTATGTGATCACCTAATTACATAGCCATTGCTTGCATCTGATCATGTTTATTTGGACTTTTAGTGCTTTAAAACATTCACCTCACTGCCATAGTGCAGAAAAGTACGTATAAATAAAACGTGTTTTTTTTGACATATTGTTTTAAGCATCCCTCAAACTATTTTCACAATACTAGATGTGAATGACAATGGAAACTATAAATCTCTACATTACTGTCTTAAGTTTTTAAATATTTATGCATTGTTAAGACAATGTTTGCATTGATATCTGATATATCCGAAGGTATATGTGCTCCTCCAAACAATTAGTACTTTAAAAAGAAATCATATTCTCCCCTTGCTGAGTGGCTTAAATTTCATGCTTGTTTTGCTCCCACCCACCTGCCCTTTCATTGCTTCTCTTTCCTTTTTATTCCAATCTGGTGTGTCACTTGTTTTAAAGCTCAACAATTCACCATGGCTTTACATTATTGGTCCACCAGAGATTGCTCAAAAAGAGTTGAGAATCTTGGTGTTGTGAAAGAGATTTTAGGAGTTGGATTGCAAATTCTCAATGCTTGACATGGTACAAGATGGTATGAACAAATATAAGTTGATTTAAGATTTATTTGGGTCAATTTAGTATTGGTTCATAGGCATATATACATATATATACACACACAATATTTGTCTTGTTAGACCTTGTGTGTAGCAGCAGGCTACCCAAGGCACAGTGGATGGACGTCATGAAGGATGTTCAATTGGGAGGACATCCCTGCAAGAGAAGCCCAGGGGGGGGTGTCAAAACCAGAATGGCTTTCAGCACATTGTCAGTGACTCAGACTTGACTCAGACATTGAGTTTCACAGTCATCATCATCTACAGTATAGGTGTCGAGATGGGCGAACGAGTACGTATTCCATCCACCACGTAACACACATTCTGGAACTGTCCGGGGTGTGCAGGAACTCTGTCAAAATATCTATTTCTGATTGTCGCCATCACGAGTGGAGAGACGGGGCGGGACCTCTCGATGCATGGTATCAATCGTGTCGGATAGACTAGTGAGTTTCAATTGTAGCTAATATTAGAAATTATGATGACCAGAGAATGGCAGTAGCTGGGATGACGTCTATTCCCGGTAAAAGGATAAACACGGCGACCGGTTTCCGTGGGTTCTACGGAATTATCGAACGTCACAAAATGGTGTGGATATCTCTTTGCGACAGTAATCGCTTTCTCTGTTGCAGCGCGGTGTCGAGCTTCCGAAGCTTTTGGTCGATTGATCCAGTAACTGCCGAGCGGAGCTTGTGAGTCGTGGCCATGGCATTGAAGTTGGGCGACACAGCGCCATCCTTCGTGGCGGACTCGACGCACGGGACAATCGACTTCCACAAGTACATTGATGGTTCCTGGGCTATCTTGTTCTCGCACCCCAACGACTTCACGCCCGTGTGCACCACGGAGCTCGGAGCCGTAGGGAAGTTTCTGCCGGAGTTTGAGAAGCGCGGGGTGAAGGTGATTGCGTTGTCGTGCAACGATGTGGAGTCGCACAAGGGCTGGATTGCTGATATCGAGAGTTACACCCCAGGTGCTAAGGTCAGCTACCCTATCGTGGCCGATCCGACTCGGGAACTCGCTGTGAAGTTTGGGATGCTGGATCCCGAGGAAATTGATGGCAAGGGTGTTCCTTTGACGGCGAGGGCAGTGTACATCTTCGGCCCAGACAAGAAGCTAAAGTTGTCAATCTTGTACCCAGCTACGACCGGGAGGAACTTCAATGAGGTTTTGCGTGTGATTGACTCGCTTCAGCTCACTGCCAATTATAGCGTTGCTACCCCTGTCAATTGGAACCAGGGAGACAAGTGCATGGTCGTGCCTTCCCTCTCTAATGAAGCTGCCAAGGAGAAGTTCCCGAAGGGTTTTGAGACTGTGGAAGTCCCGTCTGGGAAAAGCTACATTCGTCTTACTCCTCAGCCAAATGTGGATTGATGTAGTATGCATTTTACGAGGTTGTAGGCCAGAGGTTGGTTGTTATAGTTGAGCCGCAACAGCATCTGCACTTTGTGAATCCACCTGAGGGTATATCTTGTATATCTTGGATGTAAATGAGTTTATTTTGACCTGGTGCGCTGAGATGTGTTATTGGGGGTTATTGTGTGAACCACTTCACCTCTCTCCACACTTGCACTAAGTTTTCTTTTTTCTCTCTTTGTATGTGTGTGTGTATATGCGTATTTGTTTATGGTTGATTGGTTTTCTCGTTTTGTTTACTTCAATACCAATGCACTTTAATTAAAATTATCTTGTTGGTTGCGTTCGTCATCGCCAGCAGGCTAACCTTCCTCGGCGTTAGTGTGCGTAGGAAAGTATTTAAGTCTTGCATAAATCTCTATGATCACTTCGAATGATATTCATTTTGTGCCTTGTTCAATTTGAAGATAGTCAACACAACGGAGTTTCATGTGCAGTGAAAAAGGCTTTTTAGAAGCAAACTTCCAAACTTAGAACAGCGTAGTTTATGATCATCTTTTCATAGATGAATACTGTAAAGGACGGGATGGTGCGAGTGAGGAGTATTCAGTGTCTGATTTGAGCCGTCATCACAAAATCGAGCACGTGAAGACAAGACACTAGCACTGAAGTATAGTGTCAATGTGGATGGTGAGAAATATCACTGCCAGGTCATATTTGTGTAAGTTGCATGTCCGTGTCAATAACGTATGTCAGGACAGATCACGTGAGATGTATGTCGATGCAATTCAAAGATCAGCCGAAACCTTTTGTAATGCTTGGTTCCATTGTACCTTTGACAGTCATGACATGGTAAAATACATCTCAACCACAACAACCTCGACTACGAGCTGTCTCTGAGGTCTCTTCCAATCTTAAACATCCCGCCATCGCTGGAAACGAATGTTCTAACTCGATTTTGGCAACGGAAGCAGCATTAATTCCTGAGTTTCTACAGTCTCTAGGTGTAAAACAGCAGACACACCATACCTCATTGGATGCGATTGTAGCACGGATTGAAGCTTTCTTCACCTCTGGATGCCCTTCATCTTCGGAGAGAGCTGCTCTCAAATAGCCTTGCGACAAATATAATCTTGGAATTTGTACTCTTGCTAATTACGTACTTGACTACTAATTACACAACCTTGTCAAATAGTTTCTGTATCAATCAATCCATTCTGATGAGAATGATATGCATCTTTCGAACCCATCTCATCAATGCTGCTCAAATCAGACTTCCAAAATTATGTTCACGCCTCTTCAAAATCTTGAAGAATCTAAGAAAAGAATCTGAGACAAGTTGCTTCTCCTTCCCAACTTGACTTTTCTTCGTTGACAGTTGCAGTGAATGAAGGATATTCCACCAAATTCCTCACTAAAGGTTTTCCTTTTCTTGGTTCTCCATCTAAAATGTCATCTAATATGACCAAAATGATTGTGTTGATCAATTGATGACATATTGGATGGCTCCCTTAGTATTCCAATTGATCAATACAATCATTTCGGTCAGTCAAAAGTCAATTGATTAATTTAATTTGAAGTACAACACATGACAATTTGGATTAATTGGTCAATTGACAATGTGTTGTATTTCAATTTGCACACCATGACAATTGTTTCTCAATTTCCATCTTTACTCTAGAGCATCAATATGCATATTTATATGGACCCTAAATTCTCAACTTTCACCTCCACACATTAAGTTTCCATCTTTGCTCTACCTGTAATTGAAAAGTGCAACGCTTTCTTAAGAAGGATTTGGAAGAAGTCAGTTGCATTCTACATAGGATTTGATACCACATGTGTTGTAGATTGCACTTGCACTTATTAGAGTCTTTTTTTTGAGTTGCCTTTGAAAATACAAAATCTTTATCTTTGCTTCTTCTATTGTATGTGCAAATGAGGGAGATAAAGATTATTGATTGTAATTCTTCTTGCAAAAAGTAGTATATTTTCTAATAAGAATTAAAGCATGGTACATTGTTGTATTATAATAAGGTTATTGTATAAAAGATAAATAAAAGGATTATATTATAGAATAACTTATAGTAACTAATTACTTTAAAAATATAGATAAAATTGAAGGATGTAGTAAAAATAATTTAAAGCTAATATTATCTTTTGATTAAAAAAAATATAATTTTATTTATTCTATAGAATCATAAACAAGTCAAAAAAAAAATAGGTTAGCAAAAATTACGTTATAAGCATCTTTAAATGAAAGTAAAGAGTAGCTTTTAGCAAAAATTATCCAAAAAAACCTGAGATAAATATCCAAAGACTATTTGTAATGAATAAGGGTTAAAACCAGATCATAAGACACAAAATTGCACACTTATAGCAAAGGTGGAGTTTTTTTCATTGATTAGAGAGCAAGGTTTGAGAGTAGTCTTGATAGGATTTTTTTTAAGAATTGTTTTTGAAGGATATGAGTGTATAATGGCTTTGTAAGAGCTTTGCAAAGTAAGGATTATTTTGGATGACTCTACTTTGTGCTAAATATAAAAGAGATTGTATTTTGGTGAATTTTAAGAGTTTTGTAATAGATATATGGATGAAATTTTTTAAGTTTGTAAACATAGTTGTCTTAAATGTATGTAATGAATTTAAGCGTAACTAGAGAGTCAAATCAAACGAGATTGGTATTTAAGTGATTTAGAATCTTAAAGTTTGGATTTGAAGATTAGTAAGGATTTGTATAATTTTGAGTAATTTGATAATAGGAATAATTTATTATTTTTTTTTTAATATAATAATAATAAATTTTATTTTTTATATTTATAAAAATATTATGAATAAGTTAATTTTTCTAAAAGAAAATACTGATGCTTAAAGGTTATTATTGAAGTTGAATAAAGAAGATGATTGACATCCAAGAGGATTGTGAGAATTTTTTCTTTATTTATAAGTTTGATTCTTTTCAAAATTTGTGTATTTTTTGTCAATTAATAAATTGATATTTGTCAAAAATTTAAATTAAGATCTTGATTAGTATAATATTTATTGAAGTTTGAAATTTATGTAGAATTTATTTAGGATTTGATTAGGATTTATTAAGATTTACTTGAGGTTTGATTAGGATTTTTTAAGGATTCAATTAGAATTTTATTAGGATTTAATTAGGATTTGATTAAGGTTCTATTAAGATTTTATCCAGATTTTGTTAAGATTTGATTAGAATTTAATTATAGTTTGATTAGAATTCTATTATGATGTCTTTATTTTTTTATACTATCTTTTAGATTTTTCTATTAAAGAAATTAAATTGATAGTTCTTCTTGTAAATTCCTTATAAGCATTACTTAGAGTTGATAAGAGTGCCATATTGTAAAGTATTGAGTCTTTTTTGGCCCTTCCACACTACTATTGAATATCTAGAGTACTGTTCATATATATATATATATATATATATATGAACTTTGTGATGAACTGCTTGTTGGAAATACAAATGTAAATTTCTCAAGTAATAGAAAAGAAACAGAAGCACAACCATCACAATTAAATATGTAAGGTAGAAACTTGATACATGACATATCTTTGATCATTATATCTAATAAGGAATTAGGATTAAAATAATTAAAAAATATTTTAATTGAGACACTAATTGGTAGCTTAGGTGGTGATGCTTTGGACTTCATTTAATATGAATTGAGCAAAAACTTATAACTCAAAGCTACAACCAATATTATTGCATGTAGAATTAGAGCATTTACTAATCAACCCAAAGCACTTAGCAAGCAAGATCCTTGCAAATAAGTCATTATAATAACTTAGTAATCAATATTTTTTTATAGTGGCTTTAGCTTTTATAGATAAGTAGAAGAGTTGCAAGAGCAAAAGAAAGAATTATAACTCAAAATTTGGAGCTTAGAAGCTAAAACATCTCTTTTAAAAATCTAAAAATAAATTCAATAAGTTTTAATTTTTCATGAATAATCTGAAATGTAGGAATTGAAATCTTGATTTTTGATATTTCAATACCAACAAGATGTATATTAAAAAAAATTACTCAAAAAACATTTGTCCATAATATATTGAATTTGTGGAAATATTTTTTAACTTCAAGAGTTAGAAAGTGAGACCAAGTTTTTTGAAAGCTCAAAAAATGCTTGTAAGTGGTATTGCATTAGTCCAACTTTGAGCCATGATTCAAAAAATTTAAGTATATTATAATTTAAAATATAATTTAAATTTATTTAAACTCTTATTTTTAATTTTACTTTTAGTATGTAGTAGTATTTTTTATTCATAACAATCATATCCTTCATCTTTGATTAATTTTCTTTTATTAAAAAAACTCCATAATTAATTATTAAATATCTTATAAGGTAATAAGTTGATTAAATTTAGTCATAGATAGAAGCCAAAATGGTATAAAAAATTATTATTCTATATGTAATAAGATAAATAAAGTTGTTGTTTAATTTTATAAATATAAGAAAATTAATAACATTATTCTTGAAAATTGAACAATTGATATGTTTAAAAACATTGGATTTATTGAAATATACAAGCTTGCAAAAATTATTAATTAAAATTGGCTGATTGGTGAATTTGACAACCTTAGAATTTTAAGGATGAAAAAACTTAGTACAACCACCAATTAAAATTGAAATATTAGTAAATTTTACAACTTTAAATTTGGTAGATTTTAAAAATTTGTAATAACTACTAATTAAAATTAATAAGTTGATGAATTTAATGACCTTTGATTTGTAGAGATGTAAAAGCCTACAATAACTTCATGTTGAGATTGGTTGATTTGTGAAATTGATAACTTTGGCTTTGGAGAAATACAAAATTTTTTACAAATTATAAGTTGAGATTGACCACTTTGTAAATTTGACTACTTTAGATATATCAAGATATAAATCCTTATAATAACTTTTAATTGAGATTTGCCAATTGAAAAATTTGGTAATCTTCGAATTGAGAGGATATAAAAGCTTGCAATAACTATCAATTGATATTGACAAGTTGATGAATCTAATAACCTAAGATTTTATCAAAGAATAATAGCTTTCAACAACTACCAATTCAAATTGGCCAATTAAAAAATTTAAAGATCTTAGCATTTTAGAGATATAATAACTTACAAAAATTACCAATTGAAATTAGTAAGTAGATGAATTTGACACCTTTAGACTTAAAAAAATATATAAGCTTACAAAATATTCTAATTAATATTTTTTTA